CACACTGGAGCACAATGCATGTGGGTTGGTAGAAGTCCACTACCTGGTTGATAACTGGCTGGAAAAGGTATTTGTAACTCTGGTCATCAATGCCATCCCGCAGGGGCACATTCAGACAGTAGTAGTGGCCACTCTCTGCCCCGACTTCATACATGTCACCTGTGCCAGGGAAGAAGTAATTTCCCTATTTGTGGAAGAACACCGTTATGACCTGGTCAGTGAGGTAGAAAGCTTCCTGAACCCCGTCACCATGGTGGATGTCAATATCAATGTAAAGCACCTGAGGGTGGTACCTCAAACCTCTTGGCATGGTGCAGACCACCAGCCCAGTTAATGGCAATATCACAGATCTTGTTGTTCAGCTGGGTTGCTCCTTGCAGAGATGTTCCCATGTAACGTAAGCAGAACTCAAAGAGCCCGGAAAACACTGGGGATCATCTTATAGAGACCGTAATGCAGGACCAGGCTATGGGTCAATGCCAGGTGATGGGGCCTCATAGGGTGTCCAGCTCCGTAGTGGAAGTTGTGCACGTCAGGGTCGTAGAAATAGGCCACGGTCTTGGCCATGGCGCCAGCGGGAGCAGGCCCCGTGCCTCCACCGCCTGCTGCCAGCCCCTCCAATCTTGCATTATTTAAGACTATAAGGAGGCAAAGTAGTTGGTGGTTAAAGGCATAGTCTGTGGGGTCAGGCACTCTGAAGCTTCAGGGTCAGATCTGGCATTTATTAGCTGTGAACCTCTGGGTGAGTTACTGAACCTTTTTTAGCCTTTATTTCTAATCTGTAGAATGGGCATATGAATAGTAATATGAATAGATTTGTAAGGGTTACATAGAATAATGCATATAAAGTGCTTAGTGCAGTGCCTGGCCCAGGAAAATGTTTGCTATGGCTTTTGATATAATCTAATTTGGTCCTGATATTGTTGATGTCACTATTCCCTAGGGAACAAAAGAACTACATTTTTTCTGTTTCAGGATTGCCTTAATGATTTGCTAAATGATTTTGTGGCAAATAACTGAATTCCCGTGCTTGTCATCTTCTGAAAGGGAAGTCAAGGGAAATGAATAGAGAAATGTGGCCACAGCAGAGACCAAAGAACCTCAGAGTGTTTTTTTAATTTTTAAAAACATTAAATTTTTTTTTTTTTTTTTTGTAGATGAAGTCTCACTCTGTTGCCCAGGCTGGTCTTGAACTCCTGGGCTTAGGCGATCCTCCCACCTCGGCCCCCCAAACTGCTGGGATTACAGACCTCAGCCTCACAGTTTGGTCTTAGGTATGGTCCTGATTGTGGGTTACCTTGACTGTTCTTTGAGTCCTGGAGAAGTCAAGATGAAAGCAGTTACAAGGTCATATGATAAGCCTGTATGGGCCATGTAGGTAGACTTCCATGCATAGATGGTATAGAAAAGTAAAAATGATCTTCTACTTTGACCATTGTTACTCCCAACATAAACTTACAGCAATAGTCTTAAATGCCAGTAAATTCTGTATTTGTAAAACATCCAGTAGAGAGGTTGGGTCTCCTAATGAACAAAGGAAAGTTTGCAGTGTTAAGTGTTATACAGATATGTCATCGCACTCTATTCTCTCCACTCCCACATGAACTACCATGGGACAAATCTAAGCCACCTCTTGGTTTTGGTCTCAGAACAAGTGTCATTCTCCAAGTTGCGGGGCAGAGTTCAGTCATGGGTTTTTGGGATCCCATGCTGTCGTTGGGAGCCAGCTGTGCAGCCTGGAGTGTGGGGCTGTGGCCAGGGTGGGTACAGGGAGCAGCATCTGTATTTGCTGTTGGGGTGAACCTGTACTTTGACTGGAGGAGATATTTTCAGTGCTTTACCAGTATTAGTGAAGCATATAATTGAATTTCCTGAAAGTGTCAGAAATGCCAGTAAGTTTAGCAAATGGCTGTGCAGCATGTTGCACATTAATATCAATTTTAATAAAAAATACTGATTGGGATAGATTTCATAGCTAATCTAGAAAAGGTAATAATCCTTGTGGTCTGTCTTAGAAGAGTGAATGGTTTCCACTCAGAAAATTCAGATCTGGGGGCTCATAGTTCATAGCTGTTTTTTTCTTTTCTATTTCTCTCCTCTCTCTCTCCCTCCCTCCCTTCCTTCCTTCCACCCTCCCTCCCTCCCTCTCTTTCTCTCTCTCTCTCTTTTCTTTCTTCTCTTTCGTTTCTTTCTTTTCTTTCCTTTCCTTTCTCTTTCGTTCTTTCCTTTCTTTCTTCCCTCTGTTGCCCAGGCTGCAGTGCAGTGGTGGGATCATTGCTCACTGCAGCCTTTAATTCCTGGGCTCAAGGGATCCTCCTGCCTCGTCTCCTCAGTAGCTGGGACTATAGGCATGTGCGACCATGCCTGGCTAAATTTTAAAAAATATTTTTTAGAGACAGAGTCTCACTATGTTGCCCAGGCTGGTCTCAAGCTCCTCAGTTTCCTGAGTAGCTGGGATTACAGGTATGAACCACTGTTCATGGCTGTCATGGCTGCTTTTTCTTTTTAATTTTCAATTAAAATATATACCAAATGAAAAGTGCACAAACCGTAAACATACAGATTGATGAATTTTCACAAAGGGAATGCACTCACATAACT